CCTTCCACGCTATTTACCCGCTCTCCGACCCCCCCCCCCCCCTCCCCCAACCCCCCTCCTCCCACGTGGCCTCCCGGCACGAGCCGGGTCTACCCGACTTCTCGGCTTAACATAACAATACACGCCGCGCTCAGCCAATCAGAGGAGGCGAGATTCCGGCAGCTGCCGGCACGGTAGCTCCGCCGCCCTTATATAAAGGGCGAGCGCGGCTCCTCGGCATTTAGACGCGATTGGGACTTGATAGGAGGAGGATTACCTGAGACAAACTTCGGCTTCGGGGGTGGATTTTTTTCCCTTCATCTCCCTTTTCTTTATCCTCTTTTGTCGAACCGCTTTCCGGAAGATTATTATCATTATTATTAATTTTCCCTTCGAACTGCGGAGCCAACCCTTGTGTGGATAACCCTGGTGTTTTATTTATTTTTCCTTGTCTTTTGGACCATTATGACTCTGGAGGAAATTCACGGCCAGGAACCGATGCCTGAAACGAGCGACAGGTAAATGACTAGCCCGTCGGAGCGGCTGCTTTTGAAGGCTTGAGCCCCGGGGAAAGGAAATGGGGGGAGAGAAAAGAGAGGACGAGGCGCTCTTGGACGCTCGGGAAGAGGGGAACCTCGCGCGAAGCCGTTCCTCGCCTTAGGTGGCGAGGCTGAGCCGGAGACCGGCGCGTCCGTTGTTAAGCCCCGGCGCGGATAGACCGCGACTCCCTCCTCCTTCCCGGCACTGATCCCCGCTCTCCCCGCTTCTCTTTGCAGTAGCACCACTAGCAGCGCTAGCGCAAGCGGAACCAGGATGCAGAGCGCCGGCAAGGCTCTCCAGGAGCTGCTCGTTGCTTCTCAGCGCCGTGGCTGCCTTACCGCCGGCGTCTATGAATCTGCCAAGCTGATGAATGTGTGAGTATCTTGCTCGGTCTGCGCGGGTTTGGCTGGCCAAAACAACGGGGCCTGCCTTTAAACTAACCACCTTGGTCCTTTGGGAGAGAGGGCTTTAAGCTCCTTTACCCCCCCCCCAATTCCCCGTGATTGGAAGGTATCCTCAGATCCCTGCTAATCTGCTTCTCTCCCCACTCGTTTCTCTGCAGCGATCCAGACATCGTGGCTTTCTGCGTCTTGGCCGCAGATGAGGAAGACGAGGGAGATATTGCCCTCCAGATCCACTTCACCCTCATCCAGGCTTTCTGCTGTGAAAACGACATTGACATTGTGAGAATAAACGACATCCAGAAACTGGCTGCCATCGTGGGTGCCGGAGAGGAAGCTGGGGAGCCCCGAGATCTGCACTGCATTCTCATTACGGTAAGTGGTGCTTTTTTTTTTGCTTTTTTTTTGCTTTTTGGTATCTGCTTAGAAGAGGGCTGGTCCCTTGAGCTTGCAGAATTTCCCGGTATGTTTGTGACTTTTTAATACTTGACCTTTATGCAGGGATTAGGTCGAGTGTGGGATTTCCCCTGCTTCTCGCTTCCTCCCTCCTCCCAGGGAGTTGCTTCTGTGGTGCTAGTCGTACTTCTCATTATTCTAGCAGAATAGTGACTGCTAGAGCAACTTTTTAAGCCTCGTGGAGATATATATATATATTTCTATGACTAGAAACTCAAAAGCTATGAATTTCCAACAATAGATTATTCTCAAGGAAACCAATTGTGTGCATTAATTGACAGCCTTGAAATAATAGCATGCGAATACTAAGCAATTTTAAAAAGCACATTGGTTTCCATACAAAAGCATTACAACTGATATTTGGGATATTGTAGTTACTTTTATCACAAGTAAGGAAAACATTTTTATATAAAAGT